GCCATCAGAAGGCACTTCTGAAGGGCTGCAGATGGCAGTCCTTCCTTGGGGCTTTGTTTCCTTGATTTTATTTTGTTTTCTAAATTTGCATAAATCCAAAGGAAAAGTGAGTAAATACTTTAACCCTCTTTTACAGACAATACCAGGACTTCCTTGAAGATCTTGAAGAAGATGAAGCCATAAGGAAGAATGTCAACATTTACAGAAGTAAGACCTCTCTACCCATTTAACTGCATGTAACCAGATCATGACAATTTGAGTGAAAATAGTTTTACTGAAGTTCTCTATTTGGATCCTTTGAACTACTCATGCCTGACTAGTTCAGGCATTTCTTGAAATGCTGTAATGTAGTCGATATTCTGTGTATTTCACGTGCACTGAAGGAATGTTGGTGGGTTTTGTTTGCTTGCCTTTAACATGAGAGAGAAAAGTGTATTTTCTCCCACACCCAAAACCTCTTCACCAGCAGAATTTGATACATAATTCAGCATCTTCCATGAGGGCAATTGCCACAGGATTGTTGGGTTTCAGGGGGAAATTGTTACTTGGTTTGTGGTTTGTTCGCTGTTTGGGTTTGGTTATTTTCCTTTCTTTCCTTGGGGTTGTTCAGACATTTTGGGGTTTGTTATATTTGCTTAGCTGTTTCTTTTTTTTCCTGTTGCTTTTTTAGATGCAGATGTGCCAGTGGAGAGCGACACAGATGATGATGGTCCTCCACGAATCAGTCTGGCTGAAATGTTAGAAGATCTCCATATTTCTGAGGATGCTACTGGTGGGGAAGGAGCAAATATGATGACAGAGTAAGAGTAGTGCATTAGCCAGTGCAATAAATATTCCTTTGTTGAGGAAAAAGTACCCAAACATTACAAACTGACCACATGAACATGAAAAGTAATGTGATAACTACCCCTGTACCCTTTAATAATGCTCCTGAGTTCATATTTTATGTATAATCTTCTAGAGAATCAGCAATTAAAGTTAAATTCCTGGTGCAAGCATTGCCGTGTAAGTTTCACAAGTTCCTCCCATCCCTGAGAGCTCTCTCTCTGCAGCTTCTGCAGTGTGAAGACCAGCTGAGTAACTTCAGGGTTATCCATTGGGAGTAGCCATGGTTTTCTGCTGAAGATAGCTGATAAGGGAAGGATGTCCAGAGGGAGAGATTTGATTCTAGTTTGCTAGATTTGTAGGTAGAGTACCTACCTACTGATTGTTGCATTCATTTCTTCACATGGGAAGGATTTTTCCTGTCTTAATCAAATGATGGTTTGAAGCCTTTTATGATATTGCTGGATTATTCCATGTAACAATACTTTGGGGAAGCTCAAAAATGTATCTTCTGTGTCTTCGGTAAGGGAACTCCAAATATACATCATGTATACACAAAAAAGGTTCCCTGAAAATTGTTAGAAGATGCAGCCCTTGCTTAGAAAGACTGGAAACTTCTGTGAAGTATAATGAATATCGTATTGTATCATTTTTCATGCCTGTAACAGTGGATTGAAAACAACATGCAGAATGTCTAATTAATACACCAGGTATGAGACAGTAAAACAAATTACAGAGACACTTTTGGTCCATCATTTTTTAGTCAATTTAAAATCAAATTTCTTTCTGCTGCAAGACTGAAGAGGACATAAGTGGTGTGGTAGGACATTACATACTTCCATTCATCTGGTTTTAATTCACTTAACTGCACAAATAAATGTTACTAAGAGGTTATTTGCATATACAGTTGTTTTAAACCAAATATGGCAGCATAACATAGCAAGTGGTTTTGCTTTTTTTTAACTTCAGGAAAAATTGCTCCAAATAACTGGCATATCTAAAGGAAGGAAATACTAATAATGTAAAGTTGGAAAAAGAGAGATGTGTAAGGTTCTCCAACAGGCTATCAATGGTTCCTTTATCAAGGATCTGTGTAGGTCAAATGAGAACTCTTGACATAGTTTGTCGCTACTTGAAAGAGAAATACACAGGGCTGAAAATGCACTATTCCTCTCTAGTATCAGCTGAGGATGTGTTGGGAGCACCTTTCTCTATTTCACCACAGTTCACAGCTTTCCAAGGCCTCAAAGAAAAGTTAAATAATCCAGGAGTTCTCAGTGTTCAGCTCACTGCCAGGGGAGCGGAGTTTTTGCCTCAATTCTTTAGTTTAAGTGTCAGCTTTTGACTGTTCTCCAGTGGATCTGCGGGGTTTCAGGGTTACTGGCTGAGCCAGGCAATGTGCCATGGAAGGCAGAGGTGGTCTTGGTTGTAAGGGGTGGAGCTGGGTTTAGTTAGCAGTTTCTCATACTTCTTTTTAATTCTGCCTCACGATCTTGTAATCACACGTTCATAAACGGTGGAAAATGGGTATGTGGGAAGGCAGTTTTGATGTAGTGAAGCTCTAAGCTGTCTGTTGGTGTCGCTGGCAGCTCAGCCATCCCCTAGTGCCATCTTTTACTGTGTATTTGTGTCACTCGGTTCTTCTGCCTCCTCTCAGGAGCTTTGTTGTATCTTTTCCTGTGTAGAAGAGCAGTTAAGAAAAATCCATAAAGCTGCTGAGAACTAAAAGTGCAATTCATCTCACGACAGTAATTTAGTTCAGTGT